AAATATCTAATTTGAACCGATTTCAATCTTTCTATGATCGGTTATAAATATGTGCATTCAAAAAATAAATTTTCTGATGGCACCTCCGATTCTGGTGCTATATCCCGCGACGCTGGTTTCGATAAAATTGCTTCTTTACTTTTCGAACCATTTCTGCTGATGTCGCTGTTCTCTTCTGTCCACTTCCTTGACGTCGGGCTGCGCTAGCAGTATCACGGTACGAGGAACAAAAGATTTATTCACATTTAAATGCTGGAGTGCTCTAACCATAGCCACATGCGTTTTTCCAGCCAAATATAAAGAAAACACACTATCACGCTTGAATTCCATCACGAATAACTTTTTTCTGAAAAATTCTCATCAAAATGCTTTTGTACGCTTGTAAACAATTTAATAAGCTGTCACTGAAATAATTTTAACAGCTGTCAGACTTAGTGGCTTAGAAATGATAGCAGTCTGAAGTTGGTTGCAGGTTTTTCATCTCTCTCTCTTTTCTCTCTCTCTTTTCTCTTTTCCTCTGGTATCCAGTACGATATTCAAATGCTAAATTTTAAATAAACTAAATTAACTAACACTAAATGAAAACTTAGCTGAAAAATGTGACTTAAATGATCAAAATACCAAATATCATGAGGTACCATTATATAGAGGCTATAAGAAATCGTGGATTTCTAGAGGTAATTTTCCGCCGAAGAAGTTAGTATCCAGTTCAAATACAAATTTCCGTTGACAAGCATAACTAAAATCAACAAAATACCGAAATTTTGGAAAGTCTGGTAGAAAGGCAACTATACGAACTTGTGGACAGTGTTGACGTTTTGCTGCCACATAATTAGGGAGCTACTGTACTAACCAAATGCCGGGTTTAACCTAACATACACAAACTTATGCAGTCTAAATGCTTGCCTCAAGTTTTCTCTGCTTTAAAATTGAAGCTGAATATTTTATATTAATATATTTTTTTCTTTTTCTCCTTAGTGAAAGCTTTAATTCTCTAAAAAATATCTAATTTCGACATAACTTTCTCTCAAACATTTTGACAACAATGATGATGCTCTGTTGTTAAACCACCACCCACTCATCAGTGGAGTGTAAGCGAAAAAAGGATAGACGACTACGAACATGATTCTTGTTGGTCCTTAAAGTGGGGATGAAAACTTGCTTCAACAGCAAATCAACGACCTTCATGTGCGCATTGAAGTGTGATGTAGTGCCAATGTTAATTTTACGAGGGATGTTAACAAAATGTTTAAGATTTGGGAGAATATGTCGCAAAGTATTAAAACAATGGAGTTTAGTTTGCGATAGGTCAAGGAGGTTGGGTTAGGTAAAGGAATTAGATTAAGTTTTGTGATTGAACAATGCTGCCGGGCGGGTACACACTAAACTAAAAAAAGTTCGGAAATGTGTGTTAATAGCAAAAATTAACCAAATAATAAAAATTAGGTACCTGACTAACAGAAATAAATGCAGTATATAATTTTGTAATAGCATATAGTATATAATAATAAACGGCCCTGGTACCTCTCCACAAAAGGGTCGAATTAATCAGCGTAAAACAACATTTCTGCCAACATCAGATATAGGGCAATATTGGTCCAATCCTTCTGGTACATCCACCCAAAAATTTAAAATATTAAAAAAAATTATAATTCTTAAATAAATCGTAAAGAGTATCCTATTTGGATGATACTTCGCGCATAGTAATATTTATGTCAAAGTGCGAAAATCGGAAATATAGTCCAACTCCAGTTCCAATGAACTCTTATTAAATGTGCTGTCAAAAAAAAAACTTCTAAAAAAGCAAATTATGTGATGTGGTCAAAAGTATACCCTAAATGCGTTAAATCGCGATCAGGAACTCCCAAAAACCTATTTAAGATTGCCAATCCTATTGAGTGCTCACTCATTTTGAATTAACACCCATGTTTTCATACGAAATGGTTTCGCTCCTTTACTTAGAAGATGATTAAATCTTTTGCAATGCCGTGATATCCAGCGGTGAGAATATACTGCCATTCATGTTACGACATTCAACGTATGTAATGCACTTCACCCTTTGAATTTCGTTAATCCCAGGTGAGAGACTTTAGAAAGCAACCATTTATATTATGAAACTCCTTTTTTTTGGAATGATAAAGTCAGTTGGAATATGCATATGAATATTGTGTCACAAGAGTATGCCATTTAACCCTCCTCCTCTTTACGATTAAAGGGTTGAAGTTATCACAGCATGTGCTCCTCTTTATATACCTATTGTTGCAGAGCATTGTATGTAAAAACATTTATGGGTTATTGTACATTTCATGTTTCGCGTAATCAAAGTGATTAATTATTATTTGCTTTTCAGAAATAACTCAACTGAAAATGTGATTACAAATTCATTGATGGACAGATATGGAAATATCAGTTCAATAGAAACCGAAATGAGTTGTGAACCCAGTATTCATCTTCTTCTCTTATCTTGTCCGATTTTAGCTATCATCGTATATCCATCTATATAAAAAGTCCTGCTCTTGGCCAAGGCGATACTCCTTAACCGAGTATTAGTCACATCATTCGTGATCTCCCAGTCAGATTCAACGGACTTGGAAACGAGTGCATCCAGATATGGTATATTATTATTTTCTTAAAATCGATTACATTAATGCATTTCCCTCGTATTGCATATTTCTAGTCTACATATGGAATCTACATAGAGAATATTTTTGATTTTATAAGCTGTTAACTGCACTTCACTGTTCCTGTTTGTCACTGTTCCATCTAAGACAGCTATACAACATAAAGGGGATTTGTTACGGCTCAAAACGTCGTTTGTGAGCCACCATACGTTAGGATCCGCTTGATTATATTCTTGCAAGAGTGGAGTGTGATTAAGACACTCTTCATTTCCTTACGGTATGTTCGGTGCACTAGCATGACTTCATAAAAACAATTAAAAAAGAAGCTAAGTTCGGCCGCACTTTTTACACCCTCCACCATTTGGAAGAAACTTGAAAAATTTCAAAAAAAAAAACCGTCGAAAAATACCGCTCAAATGGAAACCGTTATATGGCTATACGATGACGTGGCCCTGTATAGGTAATTTGTGTCATAGACTGCAATGATGGTTCCATACTTTATAAACGAAATTTGAAACAATTCCGGTGAATAATGTCGCAAAAATGATGAAAATACCGAATATCTTGGGGTACCGTTATATGTGCGCTATACAAAACGTGGACCTTTTTAGAAATTCTCTTCTAGGTGTAAAGTACTCTGAAGGAACCACTTATGTGAATTTTAAGACAATTCCATTATTAAAATACCGAATATCGGAAGGATTCGTTATATAGGGGATATATGATATCGTGGACCTATATAGACAACAAGGATCTACTTTTGTGGATTTTAAGACTATTCCATTGAAAATGTTGTCTGATAGGTTTAGATTAGCTCCCATATATATCTTCATCCAAATTCGAGTTTAAAGTGGACCAAATGTGTATTGTATGCCCAAATTATATGGATTTATTGTCAAATTTGTTAAAAATCGGTTCAGGCATAGCTGTAGCTCCCATATACATATATGTTTCATCCGATTTGACATTAATTCCCTCAAAGGCATGATTTAGACTTCATAATAATTATATTCGATGCCAGCTATCAGATACAGCTAAAAAATAAAGGTCGGTCCAGATTTGGATTTAGCAATACCACAACAATTATATTTGGTACCAGATACAATGTAAAGCTTATGAAAATTCCTATGCAATAAGCGGTTGAGATATTTTTATTAGTTCGGAAGTTAGAGCATATTACTCGGTTTTAAGACCCGGCACTCTACACCTTACGAAAATGGATCCGGAACCCGGAGATATTAGACGTCTAATGGTTTCCAGCTTGAGATTTTCTCCTCTCATAGTATGGAGGGTGTATTAAGTTCGTCATTCCGTTTGTAACTCATCGAAATAATCATTTTAGACCCAACAAAGTTTATATATTCTTGATCAGCGTAAAATTCTAAGACGATGTAGCCCTGTCCGTCCGTCTGTTGTAATCACGCTACAGTCAGAACGAATTAAGATAGGAAGCTAAAATGTTGCACAGATCTCTCTTTTGTCTGCAGGCAGGTCAAGTTCGAGATGTGATCGGTCCACAATATCGTATAGCCCCCATATAACAGTTCCCCACGATATTCGGTATTTTGATGATTGTAGCCACATTTTTCAACGGAATTGTCTGAAATTCTACACAAGGAGTTCTTTGTGAGTGTTTTACCCCCAGACATAGATTTGTCTATATAGGTCTACAATATCGTATATACCCCCATATGTAGGCATCTTCCGATGTTAGGTATTCTAAAGATTTTAACAGAATTTTATTTTTTGAAAATTTTCAAATTCGATCCAAATGGTAGGGAGGGTGGTTGGAAGTTTGGCCGAACTTACTGCCTTTTTTACTTGTTTTTCAATAATTTCAAACTGACACACACTACCCGCCTCTTCGAAATGTATTTCTTTTTAAGTCCCTGTCTCCGTGTTATGTTCTTCTCGACGAAAATTAATTGGGTCAATGTTTACTAAACTAAAGTTAAGCCACAATTTTTATCCTCAGTGTACTACCATAACTTCATGAAAAAATCACCTAAGAAGAATGAGATAATTTGCGGTAAAAAGGACAGCTGCTTCAACAGTAAGACTAAAAGAGAACAGAACATTTATTTCATACCAGCCAAGCGATTGTATGAAATTGCTTTATGAAACATTTTCATAACAATCAACAATGTACATATACCTACACTTATCAGCGAAACTATTAGCGTTTTACTTGTCATCTATTCGTTGTATTCTGCAAAGGGCTTTATCAAATTTTAGTGATTATAACTACTTCAAGGACCAAAATTATACGATTTTCCAAAAATATTCCTTGCTCTAAAATAAAATATTTCATTTTAATATTGCATGCAGACCCAATGTAAATTTCATGACATAAACTCAACGAAAAGTAGCAGTACTTACAATTGTTTTGTTGTTGTGACCGAATTACGGTAAAAAGGACAGCTCTTTATTCCACTACTGGGGGTTGCAGTCAAATTGAAAGCCATGGAATTTTCTCACACCATTCGAAATATTTTATGAAATTGTTCTATGAAACACTTTCATAACATTTTACATAGAATGTCGCGAGTCCTTCCTTCACAAAGGTAGTAAGGATATCACGTTCATTTTGGTATAGCTGCTCGTTTGCCAGACGACGATTTTCAACAAATTTCTCAAATACTAGAAGCGAAACAAATGACACATTTATTGATAATAAATACAAGAAACTGTGCGATAATCTTGTTATATTTTATTTTAGACATTTCTTTCATGATTAACTAAATATATGTTTTAAAATATTATCCTCGCGTAAAACACAATCACTGCTCTGAAACTTCACTTCCAATTAGAATGAGAGATGACAAATTTGTGTTAGTTTGACAGCTGTTGCAAAACGATATTTGACAATGGTATACTGTGTCATCGATTGCTATCGACAAGTGTTGCCATATCAAAATGTATTTTTTCAGGTTGAAATTTAACGTATTTTTCAAACGAATCACAGATAAAGCAAGTAAATTAGTATTAGTCGGTTTTTCCGACAGACGTATGCCTCCAGCCTTGAGCTATGATTATACAAAGTGCTGATTCTTTTTAGAGGAGGTTCCGAAGCAGTTGGCCAATATTGACCAATTCGTATCTGACCTAATGTGGCGTTTCTACTGCACTTGATTCGCTCTCTATTCGTTGTTTGGCCCTTAACTATGAAAAAACTATTTAATTCTTCACACAAAATTTCCTGAGCGAACTCATATTTGTACGTTGTTCAAATCAAATCACTCTCAGAACAACGAAAAAATATGTCCCATCCCTAACAAATGAGAGAATTTATCGAAAAAATAAATTATGACATTTAAAAATAGGAAAATTTAATGAAATTTTAAATTTTTTGGGAAGACTGAAAATTATGAATGAAAACTACAATGTTGAATGGCGTATGTACATTCAAACGAAAGTACATTTTGTTTTCCCTCTCATCCGAGGTGCGCATTTTGTCCACGAGTTGAAATTTCCACAGAAAACTGGAAACAAAAGATGCAATATTTTCAAAATGTTTGTGTCGGCAGAAAAAAAAGTTTAACAAGTGTCTCTCCAGCAGAATTTGAAAATAGAAAAATACTAAAATATGGTCCAAAATGTCAACATTTACACAAAAAGTTGAAAACATGAATGAAAATTGTAAAATTAATGATATAATAAATCTTTGGAAGGAAAACAATAATTCTTCTATTCATATTAGTGTGAATTTAATGTATTTTCGTATAAATTCCCATTTAAATTAAACAAACAAAATTTTTGAAAAAAGGAATTATTTTTCTTTGAATTACGAATCGTTCCGTATGAACGGGTTAATTCGTGTACGTGATTCTGAGAGCAAACAACGTCATTCAATTTATCGTGTGAACATGCTATAAGAGTCATATAAATATTACCTCGTGCCAGATTTGGCCTATATCGAATACTTCCTATACCTTAAATGAGATATGTGCAAATTATTGGAAAATGTGGAAATATGCGTGAGGTACCAGATATAGCAGACAGAAGTATTCCCTTTTCATACTTCAACTAATACAGATTAAAATATTGGTATGTGCAAAATTTGATGGAAATCGAATATTTATATCCACTTTTATGCGAAATTATAAATTTCGATAAACACATGTTCAAATTTCTGTTGTTTAGATATAACAAGTTGTAAAGAATCGCTGACTTGTTTTGCAAGTTGTGACCGATATAAATGTTGCAAAATGTGACCCTTTCTGGGTGAGGTACCAGAAGGGGTTGGCAGATATATATTATCTTCATAACAGATCTTACGTTAGCAAAAATATTTGAATGTGAGAAATTTATGAGCGTTTGTTTATTAAAATCTTGAACCCTATGTGGGGTGGTACCAGAAGAAGTGGTCCGATTTCTACCATCTTTATAACACCCCTTGTTGACGGAAATATTGAGATGTACCAAGTCTGAGTGGAATCGGATGTTAATTTTGCATTTTATGAGCTTCCTGGTTACTCAAAATGTTGGCCCTTTGTGGGGGAGGTACCAGAAGGAGTGGACCAATATACCTCATCTTCACACCAGACCTTGGGTTTATAAAATTATTGTGATGGGTTTAATTTAAAGAGAGTCGTATGCTTACTTCGGATTTTATGATCGTTTTGGTTATTCAAAACTTTGACCCTTTGTGGAGGAGGTGAAAAAAGTAGTGGTCCGATCTCTGCCATATTAACAACAGATCTTGTGTTAATATTGATATCTACAAAGTCTGAATAGAACCGGGTGTTAATTTCGCGTTTTATGAGCTTCATGAATTTTCAAAATTTTGACCCTTTGTAGGAGAGGTACCAGGAAGAGTAGAGCAATCGGACTCTTACATCACATTTTATAAGAGTCATAATTATCCAAAATTTTAACCCTTTGTGGGGGATGACTTGATGGAGTGGAGCGACATTTTCCATTTTCGCATCTGGCCTAGCACTGATGCAAATATTAGGATTCGCAAAGTTGGAATAAAATCGGACTATCCTTTCTCTTTGTTTGCAGTATATTATTTATTTATTTATTTATTTATTTATTTATTTTCTGTTGGAGGTATCAGAAAGAGTGGACCGATATTGCCCATCTCCGAACTCGATCTAAGTTTGAAAATAATATAATATTTGGATCAAATCGGATAGTCCACACAGCTAGACAGACAGACAGACGGACATCGCTAGATCGACTCCAAATGTCCGGAAACAGATTTGGTCCAAAGATACCTAGGGTCTAAAACCGTTTTGACCGTATCAAATGATATATACCCTCTCTAGCCATATGACTGAGGGTACAAAAACACTTGCTCTTACCTTATATTACTATAACATGTTGTTCATCATAATTATCAAACATAGATCGAGTTGGAAGATGGGCGATGTCGATCGATTATGGTGCCTTCCTCCCAAAAAATCTAGTCTTCTGCCTCCTGTTTAAAGAAGATTAAGACTTATATCCAGAAGAAAAATGCATAATATCAGCCCATCTTCTATGGCATCTCTTCCTCAAAGTGTCAATGTTTTAAATTATCACTTCTCTCATAAAAACCGGAATAATTCTTTTCTTCATAAATATTTCTACATCTGAATGCTAATAAAATGGGAATTTTTCTCCTTTTTGTTCTAAACTGCACAAAACCTAACATATAAATTGTCCTTTTGGTATTGTACAGGGACTATGCCATGCTTCATCCAATTTTTAATTGGAATTGGCCCTCAGATTTTTTTTTTTTTTTTTTGAAATCATAACAATATTTAATTTATCATTATATATCCGAAATTGCATCATCCAAAATAGAAAAGGCATAACACATCTTCACAGTCACTATTGTGAAATTAAAACAAATGTGTAAATCCACGTCAGTCTTAAACAGTCGTTGCACTTTGAAGTTGAAAGTTAACCGTTTTTTGACTACATCTGTTTAAAGTTCATTCACCGGCATTTTTTCGAGTAGAAAACATATGTAGGCCTCTGTACATGGACAACTGTTTTCCAACCGTTATTTATTGAAAAAAAAAAAAAAAAAAAAAACAAATAAACGCGTATAAATTAGCACGTGCACCGTATTTATTTGTTTTCGTCTGGTTATTTCTTAACATGGATTTATGTAGACTATTTTTAGGTCTCTGAGCATGTTTCATGAACAAAATCATGTATTCTAATTAACATTCTGAGTTTTTAAAATGGCGACGCTGGCTATATTTAAAAAGGCTAGCTAGGTTCTAGTTAATAACTCTTTTTATACCCTCCACCAAAAAAAATATAGAGGATATTATGTTCGTCATTCCGTTTGTAACTCAACGAAATAATCATTTTAGACCCAACAAAGTATATATATTCTTGATCAGCGTAAAATTCTAAGACGATTTATAGGTCCACGATATCGTATAGCCCTCATATAACGGTACCCCCGATATTCGGTATTTTTATGTTTTTAGCCATATTTTTCAACGGAATGGTCACAAGGGGTTCTTTGTACACAAGGGGTTCTTTGTGAGCACTTTACCCCCCGACAGAGAATTCTCTATATAGGTTAACGATAACGTATAGCTCCCATATAACGATACCCCGCGATCCACACAAGGAGTTCCTTTTGAGTACTTTACACGCAGACATAGATTTGTCTTTATAGGTCCACAATATCGTATATCCCCACATATCGGCACCTTCTTATATTAGATATTTTAAAGATTTTAAAAGAATTTTTAATGGATTTTATTTTTTTTTAAATTTTCTAATTCGTTCCAAATGGTGGAGGGTATTCAAAGTTCGGCCCGGCCGAACTTACTGCTTTTTTACTTGTTAATTATAAAGATAATTTTCAGAATAGTTTCCATATACATAATCTTCACCAATGTGGAAAACTCAGTCATAAATCATCAAAATGCGGAATATCGGGAGGTACTGTTATGTTATATGAGGGCTATACGAAGACGTGGACAATTTTGCTGGAGCAAGAAAATTCTATAGCAAATCCAAATGAGAAAAAAATAGCTAAATCTGTCATATGAGGGCTATACGAAGAAGTGGACCTGCACAGACAATTTTTTATCAAGGCTGTAATATCCATTACGAACTTCAAATAACGAATTTGAAACAATTTCGGTGAATAGTGTCGCGAAAATCATCAAAATTACGAATATCGGGAGATGCTGTTATATGGGGGCTATACGAAAACGTGGTCCTGCATAGATATTTTTCTGTCATAGGCATCTATTACGAACTTCAAATACGAAATTTGTAACGATTCTGACGAAGAATGCCGCTAAGATCGTGAAAATACCGAATATCGGGAGGTATCGAAGACTTGGACATCCATACGCAACTCTTTGTCCTTGGGTGTAGTACTCAATGCGAACTTTAAGTACGAGATTTGAAACAATTCCGGTCTATAATGTCTCTAATACCATACCAATGCCGAATATTGGAAGGTACTGTTATGTAGGGGCTATACGAAGACGAGTATCTGCATACGTAATTTTTGTCATAGGTTGTAGTATCCGTTTGGACCTTCAAATAAGGAATTTGAAACAATTCCGTTGAATAATGTGCTTATATCATCAAAATATCGAAAAAGGAGCTACCCTTATATATGGAGTGCACGAAGGCGTGCATATACAATTTTCTCTCATAGGTTGAAGTATCCATTAAGATGTTCCAATACGAAATTCGAAACAATTCCGGTCTATAATGATCCTAAAATCATCAAAATAGGCTGATCAAGAATATATATACAATATTGTGTCGAGCATGAGTATTTCGAGGAGTTACTAACAAAACAAAAATAATATACCCTCCAAGTATGGTGCAACTAACGATGAGCCAGATTTCATTGCATATTATGTACATAAAGGGGAAATCAATAGAAGTAACATAACATTAATTAGTTAACTATAGAGGAAAACATGGGAGATTCGAACTACACGTTAGCCGGCTATGTTGACATGCATGGAACCTTTAAATACGAGACTCTTGAATTCATCCATGGATATCTTGAAAAGCAACTTTCCTCATTGAGTGTCAATCCAGACTATTCGAGGACAGGCTAATCAACTCCAGTATTAAAAAAATCCGATTAAGGAATCAGTCAGCAGAGGCACTCTAAGGGAGGGTGCTGATAGCTTTGTTATTCTAATTTGTTGATCTTACTTCGGAGACCATCGGAACTCGAACAGCAATGTGTGGCGTCAACTGCTGGACGACTTGATGTTGTAGAGATTTCGGGGGAGTCTTATACTCCGACGACGATCACTGGGGTCTACCTTGGCGCAGCAGGAAGCAATGTATCACTATACTCCTGTATCCGGTTGAAGCCGGAGCAATTCCGGAAATGAACCAACTCCATACATCCGGTTACGACAAACGGAGCAGAACCATGGTCTGGAGTTGGTCTCAATCCCGGCTCGGACCAAAAAAATACGGAGCAAACTTTCTGGGTAATGTCGTTCCCATATCAGAAAAATGGAAAAACACGAACACATGTATTTGCTGGGTTGGCGGCCCCTGGTCGAAGATTTGTTCCTCCGATTCAATCCGGTACATAGAACCAGCCGCCGTGGGATTGATTCTAATTTGTGGTTAATTGTGTTGCCTTGCTTAAACTGTCGCGATGGTCACCTAAATGCGGTTAGGTGTAAATTAAGCCAAATGTGTACCTCCAAATCTAGATGGAGAGGAACTGAAACAACGGCTATGTACTCAATGTAAATAAGATTATTGAAGTTTTATAGGGCGACATTACCAATTTAAGAAGCGACTTTTGCTTACAGGATAGACCAATTTCGATCAGTCTTGAAGAGTTTATCATCAAATACCGCCATTACAATGGGTTTCATAACCAATTTTTGGTAACAGTCACCTATTAACCCATTATTTTTTTTCAAAGACGTCACCAAAGTATGTCGTTATTCTTTGGGGCCACAAAAAGTTTGCAACAAAAGTAAACGGACAGACAGGTCATGGAGATGGGAAAGTCAGTCATTGAAGATAGCCTGGCTGTACTTAAGGCAAAAAACTCTTCCTTAGTAGATCTGGATTGGAGAATGGTGGGAGTCATAATGTGCCAGGAAACTTCAACATAATCGATAATGAGATAGCCGACAAGCTCGCGCAGCGGAGCTCTCAATCCACCGAGTTGAACAGGGCGTATGGTGGGAGGGTTTTGTTGGATACCAGAAGACACCAATATCATCTGTAAGATTTTTCCATCGTAGGGGTTGGAATTGACCAAGGAGGGTTGTACCAAATCACATTAGATCGACAAGCTCGAAGATCTGGTGTAAATATGTTAATGTGACCGGTAACTTCAGCTCGAATATCTCGGTCCCTACTCTCTAATAGTAAAGCCTAGATAAATATTGCCACAGGGGTCGTTATAGGCCACTTTCCCACGAGATCTATATCTAGGAACTGGGAATAGTATAAGGACTACATGTTTCTGGTGGTCGAACATCCCTAAACCAAAACCTCTCATCCGTTTAAAACAAATAAAACAAAATTGATTTAACATTTTTCTCTCTCTCAATCTTCTCTCACCTTTCTTAATAGAAACTACTGCCTTTTAAAAATGATTCCTTCTAAGCACTTTCGTACATTGTTTCAAACTCTTCGAGGGAAGAAACCTGAATTAAAGAATCTAACTTCGGATGAACTCTTCTTGTTGGTACTTGAAGATGGGCAGCTCTTAATATTAATTCTCGGTTATTTCCCTCGAATTGTAAAGGTAGTAAAGGAATGCGTTATTCAGATTTCAGACTAATATATAATTTAGGACTTTTGGACTGATATTGGCCATTTGGTGCACAATTGGAGATATATATGGGAGCTATCTGAAATTTTTTGAGCCGATCTCGATAAAATTTAGCAAAAGTATTTCTGGACTGTATCTGATATCTGGTACCAAATATTATTGTTGTCGAACGCTTTTTACGAATGTGAGGGACTTAAACACCAAATCGGATGAAACATATATATAGGAGCTATAGATATATATGATCCGATTTTCATCAAGTTCTAGACTGAATTCGGTTGGATGTACCAAAATTCAGGACATTTGCTACTGACCGAAATAGGTTGAAGATATATGTATACATGGGACCTATATCTAAATTTGATTCGATTATCACAAATTTCATAGGGTTCGTCCTTGGGCCAAACAATTATTGTTTGCAAAATTTCATCTCAATCGGATAATAAATGCGACCTGCATTTTGTTCACAAGAATACACGGACAGATGGACGGGCAGACAGACGAACTGGCATGCATAAATCAACTCAGAAAGTGATTCTATGAAGTTCCTCAAAAGTGACTATGGGGTCTATCCCGCTTCCTTCTCCCTGTTGCAAACAAATAAATAAAGACACAATACCCTCACCACTATGTAGTGTAAACTATATATAATAACAACTGTGTATTCGAAAAAAATAAGCCTGTGAAAATAAGTTAATAACAAGCAATTAACCCTGTGTGAGATATTTTCCTGAACCACTTGCTAGTTTAGTTTATTTTTCCCAAAACTTTTACATTGGAGTTTGATGTCTCATTGGACGTAGCAATGTACAATATAACCTTTAAATAAATGTATTTAACACCTTTTTGAAGTCGAATACAGTCATAATACCCATTTGGCAACAAAAACACATAATTGTTTTGTTTAAGATTTCAATATTTTTTTCAGTTCTTTATTTATACACACAAATATATATGATTGTTGTATTTTATTTCTTTCAATTAGTTCTTAGTTTTTTTTACTATAAAATTTAATTTCTCAAATGTAGTTATGGAAGATTTTTCAATAGTTGTTTTTAGTTTTCTTTTGAAATATGCAATGATTTAAAAAACACATCTAAAATAGTAGTATGCGCCTATACACAAGACTTATGTTTTGTATATATGTAAAGAGTTAGATGAATTAAAAAAGTGGTGTTTTTTGTTTTATAAAAAATTAATGGGAAAATGTTTTTCGTTTTCCCACAAAATTAAAGCCATTTATTAAAAGAATTTGATTTTCTATAAACTACAATAACTGCAAACAGTTTGAAAATCAAAACGCCTGGGGTTTATTGGTTTTTTTTGGAAAAATCCGGCGCCCAAGACGTTTTTGTGTTTTTTAACTAGAGAGCAATTAAAATAATTATATAAAGTATTATAAAAAAAGAAATTGGGATGTTTTAAAGTACTTTTATCTTAACCTTCAATCATCTTTCTTCTCAAGTTTTTCTTTTAATTACAATTACAAATATATATATTTATATAAAAATAGTATTACAAACTTAATTTATTTGTTTAAAAAAAAACGGAAAGCAAGATTTGAAATATTTGCCTGTGGCAGGGACAGACAGAAGTTGTTGGTTTTCAAATGCGAGGGAGAAGATGTTTTTGTTTTCCCCCTTCACCTCTCATCATCATTATAGTGTATGCAAACAAAAAATGCATTTTTTTATACTTCAACATAGTTTTCGTTGCTAGGGGTTGTTGTTAGTTGGGAGCCGAAACGGGAGGAGTGAGGAATGGGTTAGTAAAATAGAGATAGATTTGTGTATCTTGTTTTTGTATTACATTTGTTTTATTTCTTCATCTTTGTGTGTTTTAAATTAATTTAATTATGAAAAAAAAGTACAAATGAATAGAATGTTAGTGTTGTTGTTGATTTTTGGTGGTGGGCGGAAGTAGGACAAAGGAGTAGTATAAGAAGAGTAGTAGTAGAACTAAAAAAGAACTTTGAGTTGTGGAAATTTACAATTCATCCTTTTTGTGCTCATCATCCTTCTCTTCAACACTTTCTTCATCAGCATCGGCCTGGAAATAGAGGAAAAAAGACAAAATATCAGTAAATTTTCAAATCAAGAGTAATATTTAAAAATTAAGGTTCATATTTAAAAATCAAGATGTCTATATGATCAGACTGTCACCTTAAACTATTCTCTGGCTGTCACCTCTAAAACAAACACGGGTAGCTGCTAACATTTTGGGCCCAAGTTTCAATCGAAATGAAATTGAATATGTATTTAAGTTCGATCGAAACTTGAACCTAGGGTGTCACCTGCGACTCGAGCTTGTTCAAGGTTTATATTATCATAAGGGAAAGTATACTCCCCGTTCGTCATCAATAAATTGTCCCTCATTTCCACAGTTGGAATGCTTTTCTAAAGTAATTACTAATAGTACTACTCTATAGTAATTGCTCTGCTTACAGAACTTGAATACTGCCCGTTCTGCCTATATATGCTGTAGCTCTATATATGCTTTCCTTATACCCATTAAAAAGTAATAGATATCTCTTTTTCTACTTACAGATTTAACATCACCGCCAGCTTCCATGAACTTAACGAATTCATCCAAAGTTCTGTCCAAATTGTAGTCGATAACTTTGTTATCACCCTTGCGGTACAATTTGATGGTGGGGAATGAGGAGACCTTGGTGTGTTCCAATTCGTTGGCGGTGGCATCCATCTTGGCAATGACAATGCTTTCGTGATCCTTGAATTTCTCACCCAACTGATCGTAGATGGGAGCCAATTGTTTGCAGTGACCGCACCATGGGGCATAGAATTCAACCAAAACATCCTTGGTCTTGTCGAAGGCAACTTCATCGAAGTTGGTGGCAACCAAAACCTTGACGGGGTTCTTATCCCAATCTTCGGGCAAATCTTGAGACAACAAGTGTTGCTTCAATTTACCATCCATGAACTTTTGCAAGAAATCATCAATGGTTTCGGCAGACAAATCGCCAGATTCAGGCTTGTACTTGGCCATATCTTCTTCCAAGCGGATCAAACGGATGGTGGGTACATCTTCCTTGGACATGCCGAAGAATTCAAAGATACGAGTGTGATCTTCTTCATCGGATGAGATGGTAACGAACAAGATATCGTTGCGGTATTTCTTGGCGATTTCCTTCAAGGGGTCGACGTGCTTTTCAATGTGACCGGCTTCCTTGGAGACGAAGAACAACAAGTGGGATTTGATGGAACCACCGAAAATCTTGGAGGCAGATTCATGATTGAATTCAACAATCAAGGGCAAGGATTCAACTTGACAGAATTTCTTTACATCTTCAACATTGACTTCACCAGTGTAGACGGATTTCTTGTCATCGAAAGGTTTGAACAAAACAATGGAACCAGATTTGGCTTCGTATTTGGCAAAGACATCTTCGTTGGTGGTGATACCGAAAGCAAAGCTATCCAAGGCATTGGCAGCGGAGACGAAAGCCTTAGCTTCGGCGGATTCAGCGTCCTTGAAGAAACCAACAACGGCGATCTGGAAAGGAGGAAGAGAAATGCGATTTAGTTGATTTGATCAAATATTAAAGATATTAACAGAAACTAAAGAATTAAAAGGAATAATTCTGGAGGATTATAAATTTAAATTTTATAACGTTTGCCTTGGCCTTCAGAAAATCGGGAAAAATAGAGGAATTTAATGTACATTGACATTGAAACGGTTAGACTGAAGTAATGCTCCTTGAAAAGTAGAGACGTTTTTGAAAAATATATGCAGTCATATTCAAGCTCTACCAGGAATTCTTATTCTTCTTTACATTCCAATTTAATTTTTTTTAATAAGATTGAAAGATGAAAGATTATTATTGTAGAATGACGTGGCCGTCTGAGGCCAAAATAGGGAAATTCAATTTCTATTAAAATTGGAATTTAAAGACTAAAACGATGCTTCTTTGGAAAGTAGAATAGTTTGAGCAAAAGTTATGAGTTATTTTCCAGTTAAGCTAAAAATTGTTATTGAATTTTTTTTTTTTGGATTTCATGTAATCCAATGCATCGGTATAGTTCCTACTACTATTAGTTCGATGTATTATCCCCCCCACTTACTTCATTGTCCTTCAAGAAAGTTTCGGCTTCTTCGACGGTGGTCAAATCCTTGGCTGGTGGGCCGGTCTTCTTGTTAACCCAGCTAACGATATCGGCAGCTTGACGGCCACCAGTATAATCGACGGGAGCGCCGCTGCGGAAGAATTTCAATGTGGGATAGCCACGGACTTGGTATTCTTCGGCCAAAGAGCCTTCAACGGTGGCATCGACCTTACCCAACTTAATGGGAGATTCCTTTTCGGCCAATTGTTGGGCAGCTTTAGCGTATTCAGGGGCCAAGGCTTTGCAGTGACCGCACCAGGGAGCATCTAAAAAGGAAAGAAAAAGAAAATAAATAATTAATGAATACGGAAAATGTTCGAAAAATGTTAATTTAAAAAAAAATATAAATATTCAAGAAAAGTTATTATGATACAATAAAAAGAGGATAACTGCATAAATTTCAAGGATGTTGGGTAAAAGAAAAGCAGATATCTATTATGTAAATATGGTAAAATGTCAAGATTTCCTACGTCATTGAAATTCCCAGAAAAAGGGGGAACTCAATTATCATATTCTTTTACAAACAATGAGCAATAACACCCTCACTCCCCGAAAAGCCCCCAAACCCTTGTCTTACCAATTGTTTACATTATGAAAGCAGATATGCAATTGTCTTATGTATTCAATGGCATATTCTGTTTGCCCTCATCACTGAAGATTTACGTGGCTCTGAAAATGTCTTTCCCCAGCCACGGTAATGATAATAACAATAATAAGCAACAAGTTAACAATATTTGCAGAAATTCAAAGAGTGGGGGAATATGAAAGGGTTGTGAAATTCATTCATGTACGAGAAGTTGAGTTGTGTGTATTTGTATTGAAGAAAGAACAGCAGCGAATAGCACAGAGACAAGAAAACAAAACGGTAAATGCCACGTTACCACAGTTCCTCTACCATTTCCCTCTTCCCTTCTCTTCGTCTTCAACGGGCTAATCAAGACATCCATCCAATAGGCTAAAGCAATAAATAAAAAAATACATACGTGGCCTTTTTTATAAAACAATGACAATCATCATACCAACACCAACGTAGTATTCTTTTTTAATTATTTCGTTAAAACTAAAAAGAAAACAACAACTTGAGCTATGAACATTTCGATTAAGATAAAGTTGAACGAAAGAAAAAAACAACCGAAGAAAAATAAACAAAATTATATTTGGAGTTATCGTAAGAAAGTGGTCACCACTAGAAAGAAAGAAGATATGATATAAATCTTTTTGTTATCAATGAAATTTGGAAACTTTGCCCATGCCCACCCATGAAAAGTCGAGAGAATTGACAAACTGAATAATCAACGTGTCGTTCAAGTACTGGTACTTTATGATAAGCGCGCGCTTTAGTTACTAACCCCAAAGTGTAAATAATTAGGTTTGTAGTTTTCTAATTTTGAAAAAATCAGAAGCACTAGAAAATGTTTTGTTGGCATTGTTTAAAAAAAAACGAGAGAAGAAAACATAACCTGTGTCTATGTTCTTACAAACACCATGTACCACTGCTCTATATAAGTGAATATAAGTCAAGTACATAAGATTAATGCCACCAGGAGGTCCCAATAAACACTTGAAATATCAAATTCCAGCAAATTGCTGAGAACCGTATGCAGGATGAGATGGAAACGAACAAGATATCGGTTCTTCAAGGGATAGACCAGCTTTTTAATGCGGCCGGCTTCTTTGGAGACGACAAACAAGTGAAATTTAATGGAAACACCAAAAATCGTGGAGGTAGATTCCTGATTGAATTGAACAATCAAGGCAAAGATTCAACTTGACAAAATTTCTTGACGTCTTCAACAATGACTTCACCAGTGTAGATGGACTTCTTGTCATCGAAAGGTATGAATAAAACAATTGAACCAGATTTGGCTTCGTATTTGGCAAAGACATCTTCGTTGGTGGTAATACCGAAAGCAAAGCTATCCAAAGGCGTTAGCAATCTAGAAAGGAGGAAGAGATACAGAACCTCCAAAATACCAAAAATCAGGAGACACAATACCTAAACCTACAGCCCTGTCAACTCGTATCGCATTGAAGACAATAGAAATATTTTAGGTTCTGTACCTAAAAACAAACCATTTTTCAAACCTTGAAGCAAAGAAGTAAAGTTTAAAGAAAAATATGATTTTTTAGGAAAAATTTAATACCAGATATGCCTTTTCACGAAGGTTTATCAAATTGTTTTACTACATTGGAGAGGTTTGTCAAAGATATCAGACAAAACTCCCTCGGCTAAGTCTCGCATGTACATTTTTTTCAGGAGAGCTGAATTTCTTTCCCGTTTAGAGGAGTTGTAATTGGAACCTGCAATGATTTCTATATTTTGCTACTCCTAAAAATGTTTGGACCTCTTAGAGGACGGACGATGTCCACATATTTGGGTATAAAACCCAATACTTGTTGTGATACCAGTTATCAAATAGTTATAGACAAAAAATATACAGACTTAAACTTTAGTAACATTTTAATTCGTCGACAATCCCAATTTGAGGGGACGGACCCTTTTAGTTGATAAAGAGCAATACCTATATTGCTTCATTTTAAAGGCGCCAAAATAAATTCGCCTATTACTATTCACGCAGATTATTTCATATAGCCCATGTAAAGTAATAAATAATATCTGCAACGATTATCAATTATTATCAAATTTGTACCACTCCACTCCCTGCCTTCTCCTATTGGACACCGAACAAAAAAAAAGAAAGCAAACGCCATGCAGCGGCACATTTAAGTTTCACACAATATGTGGCAGCATATTAACCAGCCAGCTATTATCACAACGGAAGCAATGTATGTCTACTACCACAATGAACGCCAAATGGACTACAACGCATGGATAGCAATACAAAAACAAAATGAATAAAAAAGTGGAAATAAAACCTAAATACCGTGCAAAATAAAATAGAGGAAAAAACCTACATACAGTACTCCGGCATACATATCCAAATCGTGTATGTAAAAAATATATAATTATGAATGGCTAACTATATTTAACACAAAAAAAAAACCAAACGTCATCATAATCGTCATCAAAAATTGTGTAGTGAATTGAAACAGGCTTCATATGCCACTGTTTGTGCTGGAGCACGTGTCGTCCACAAAATTGTGTGGTTAAAGACAGTGAATATGAAAGGAGAACACAACCACACCATCAGGGATGTGGTATTGTGTTCGATTTAAATACACATATGTTTTTGCAGATTGATAAGCTACTTGTTATTTTACTGACGTATATGGATGGAAACAGATGTCATCCCTATTAAGAAAAAATAGAGATGTGGGTGGTTGGGTGTGTTCGAGGGAGTTTGGACAGTACAATACCAAGACATATACATAGAACTAGCGATGTCTTATTAAAAAAATAGGCAAGTGCCTAGGATTAAAGACACATCACTGTATGTCGAAGTATCACTGTAAATCGAAGTATGTTAAGCAATTTGTTAGGGAATTAAATTCGAGTATTTAATTTCATCATCATTTTTGCTGAAATATGGAGTATTTAAAATAATAAATACTTTAATTTTTGTTAATTCCACTTTTAGAAAGAATAACTCTTCAAATTAAATTTGATAAAGAACCAGCACAGGTGGAATTCGCTGGAACGAAATTTAAATTACGGAAATACATCAAAAGCTTTCACAGAACGGTGACATATATTGAAATAGTTTATATTTGCTCCCCGGGTGTTTAAAACGCAAAATTGAATCAATATAGAACTGAAATATGCCTATAGTCTTTTAAATAATAGATATATGATGACATCGTTATTGCATTGGAGTCATACCAACAACATTAGATTTTAAAGTAAATGTAATTCCGACCTGGAAAGGAGATCGGATTGAACTTTTAACCAATTTTGGTTAAAAGTCGGGAATAGGATTGAACGATACTTAAATACATCAAGTCTTCAAACTATTTCAGAAGCAGGAGAATGTAAATCATTGACATATTTTGGAACAATTCCGGATTGGATAAATAGAAATATCTCCTTCCAGGAAATCGAAATGCTAAATGAAGTCAATTCAGAAGGGAAATATGCCTCTAGTCTCATAAATATCAAATATAGTGGAAACCCCAGTAGATATACTGGGTAGCTGCGAATTGAATAAGCTGTCGCGGACAGACAGCAGTTCTGGGAAGGAGTCCCGACTTAAATAACCGAGTGCTAAATGGTGCTTAGACTGACGAGAAGATGATCTGGTCCCCACATAAAAAAGACCCCCTAACGCTGGGGTGTTATGCGACCACGTGCCCATCAGTGTTGCAGATTTGCAGTCAGAGCATCAATGCAGATGTGGAAACGTTAAAACGGAGTCAGGACAGCATTCTTGTAAACTTCTGGGACTTCGGCTTCTAGTCAAGGGTTGACTCCTAAAGGTAATCGACCTGAATAGTTCCAGCAGACAAGCCCACACTCTCAAAGCTGAGCTCTCCCGACACCAAGAGCACCAACTCAAAGGAGATGAGGTATAAAAAGTCATATCGATGAACAATAAACTACTCCAGTTGATATGTTGATGGGAATACCTCAAATCTCGCGGATACGGAGCTGCACGTTATCAACACAAACCTGAAGTTTGTTAGGGAGTTCAAGAAGACGAGTCCTAAGGCATAAGGAACTCTCGATATGCAGGATCCCACATGCAGAACAGTGGTAAAACCAGTCGAGGCCTCAAAAAAGGCGACGGCTTCTCGAAACCACCGCTCATCTTTAAAAGTGGTATCAATGGAAACAAAGAAACCTTCAAAAAAAGCCTATTATATGCCAGGGGCGAAGGTACCAGACTCTAAAGCAGGTGAGGTGAGACTGAGGATCAATCTTTGAAACCAGAAACCAATAAAAAGGCTGCGAAGAGAAAGAGAATCCTGCTAAACACTCGGAATTGACTCTGCCGAACTCATCAGTTGATTCATCAACGTAACACCTCACAATGGAAAAGAAGGAGAAAAAACAGGTGGATAGGGCAGAGTCAAATACAGCCAAATTTCCCTCTCAGTCAGTGGCTGTGAAGAGGATGCGGTCTACTGATACTACTGAAACACTAAGACTTAGACTTAAATTATGGGTATTTGAATGTCTGAAAGTAAGTATGCTTCAGATAGAAAATCGATCAAATTTGTTTTATTAAAAAAGCGAAATACTTTTCTTCGCACAAGTTTAAGTACCGTCTTTCTATTGCTCGCATTTTTCAACTTTCTAACCGGTTATACCGATCTCCCTGAAGATTTAATGACTTGCCAAAAAAAAATAGGTCATCCATTTCATTTTCGATGCTAACAACACGGTTTGTCCATTACAATAAAAACCGTTGAGATTGGACCAATTTTTGTTACAAATTAAACGAAGAAAATAACATTCCATTCTCATTTTATTTCCTTTACAACTCTTCTTATGGCAAACTTCCTCTCAATTAGCCCTATTTCTATAACACTAAATTCAACCAACGAATAAGTTAAGAAAAAGACAAAGTAAATAACAAAATTTATAGTAAAACTACCGTTATGTTTCTTCATTCACAGCTTTGGAGTTCAATAAACCCAAAAGATATACCGGCCGCATCGCTACGCACCGCACATAATTGAATTGTGGCCATTGACTTTGGTAACACCGCATAACGTTTTGGGTAAATATACATAAATAAGAAGAAATAAATAGCCATAATGAAACCTCAATACCGTATAGGTAGGAAGGTAGACGTTGTGTTGATGACAAACACATCACAAGTTGGCCCAACTAGTTGTTCATAAGCCGGTTATTGTTGTTTGTCGGTTTTAAAACTCACACTCACTGGGCTAGATGTTATGTGATTTCAGCTAGCTAAGCTGTTTTGAAGTTCAAACACGTATTAATTATTCCCAGCGAAGAGATGTGGAGAAAGGCCAATAAAAAAAGGAAAATAACAAAGGTCACAAGAAAACCAATAATAATTTCAGTTTCTTGTTTATCACTTTTCACAAAATATGTATGTATGCCCAGAAACAATTCTTTAAGATGCAACAAGTGATAAGAGAATTTGACCTTACATTTTTCTATGAACGCTGCATAACCATAGAAACTAAGTGTCAGCATCAAATTTCATCTCAAATTAAAAGAAATGGACAGCATTATATGATGTAATTGCTTGTCTTATCTCCCCACAAAACGCATTTACTTAAAGGTCATAATCTCACTGTTTTTATGATGGTCATGGACTGCATATGTTCTTAGAAGATAAGCCAAGAACAACATATGGGCTTGGAAACACAAGCCATATGTGTGAATAGAATTTAATTTTCATAATTTATGCTGCTGCTGCTATGGCATATGAATTTTTTCTAGAAAAACGATAACAAACTCTACCAAACTAAGACGTGGCTTTAAGTTTTTGAAAAAAAAAAAATACTAATCATCATTAAAAAAGCGAATGTTTTTGTTTTCTAAAATTAAACCTAATTTTGATAAGAAGTTTAAAGAAATTAAACTAAACTAATATAAGGGCCTGTCATGCAATTCCAAAACATTCTTAAGTAAAAATTAAAAGATAAGGCCTTGAATCGAATAGTCTAGTTTGGTGATAACATTTTTGGTAATGATTGAATGAAGTGGCGGAGATATGGAGTGAATGTATTTAATGTAAGGCAATCAGATACAATTTCTGTAAAAGAAATAAATTAAATAAAATACACAAAATCTGTTCTACATAATGAAAACATGTTTAAGAAGTAAAAAATAATTTTCCGGGTTCGAAATAATTTGTATTGTTTGGTAGTTGAAAAGAAAAATCTTTTGTTTTTCCTCTTTAAATGGGGATCAGAACCGGCAGGTGCTGTCAAAACGATCAATACAATGCAGGTTCCTCACATACCTGTCTTGTTGACACCGTCAACAGATCTTTCTTTGGAACGGAAAAAACATGGAACATGTGGCAGTAAATAAAATGATAACAATAGACTGTTTTTTAACTACAATGGGAAGATACGATAAAGACTGAACCGTGTGCTCCAAAGAAAAACAAAACATTTTTATATGACTCCATAAATAATAAACTTCTTTCTTCAATCCAAAGCAGTGTACCAATAGAAATTCTTAAAATATCTATAATATATACAAATAATGTATGGTTTTTGACATAATAAGTTCTTATAAGGCCACTCTGCTTTTTTGAACCATTGTGTGGTATTATTTTTCAGAAAGTGGTTTTCAAAGTCATATGAAGTTGCAGGTTTTTATTCTTCCAAAACATCTTTAACGAATTCCAGCCAATGGATAATATCCTTTTGTAAAGTATGAGCCTTGAGTTGACTCCTAATCTTGGACAACATTCTTGAATAGAATTTCAATGTTAGTATTTCATAAAATTTGAGAAAATAATTTGTTTTTCACCAGTTTCCAGTTAAGACAATAATATAATGTTCTCAAGATTCGGAATTTGAACTTCAAATACAGTTTTCGCTACGAGCCAAGAAAAATCTCCTCTTAAAATAAGTCATTCAACTACATTAATTTCCTATGGAGCGTATTCACGTCTACCTTTTTAATTCAATTAAATTCGCAAGATATTTCTTGGAATTTTTTTTTTTTCAAAAATTTAAATTGTACCATGGGAATTTGTTTAAAGACATTTCAGAAGAATTTCCAAGAAATATGAATCATTAAAGATACAAAAGCAATGGAATATCGAATATGATGAGTGTTTACTGTGACAATTTGGCATTGTACCAGGTACCAGTAAAGTCAAAAAGGATACATAAGCAGCTTTGCATCATGGCTAGGCATATTGGTGTCAAATTGTAAGGGGATTTGAGTGCGGTTCTGGTATCTCCTACGTTCTGTTTTACCTAAAAGACTGACGTGTCGACTTCACATTCCTCCTTAAAGAGATATTTTTTAAATCTTTGAAATATTGTTTATTTTCCTATTGAATTGAATGTTTTTTTTTTTTTTTTTTTTGTAATTCTAACAAGTGTTGGAGATAATTTCCCATAATATTATCAAATGATCAGAATTATGCATGATTTTTGCACTTTTTTACAGAAAAATACTCTTAGAAACAACCAAATATCTTCCTAAAACTCCTGGCTATGGCATTGTTTGATTGCTGAAAATGCTCACTCTTACGCGGCAAATTAATAACGCAAGGTCTGTCAAAAACAAACAACAACAACATACAAAGTTTTTCGGAATTGAACAACTTTTAAACACGAATTTAATTGCAGTAACAAGCTTCTATTTAAGCACGCCAATTTACAAATTCCCTTTTAATGATAATTTTCTGTGATAAATGTCAACTAAAATGACGTTTTCCAACACTCAATGCATCCATTAAGATGTGTGAGGCAACAATAACAAAAATAATGCATTTGCATTTTAATGGTGAAATCTAAAGCAACTAATTAAAACGTAATTACAAATGTACGCAAAAATAAATAAAATATTTTTTTTTTTCAATTTTTTAATACGAAGAAATATAAAAAACAAATAAAATGTGTGGAAGCATACAGCAACCAAATTGTGACACGTCAACATAACTTAAACCAAAGAGCATAACCTATAAAGAGCAACAGACGTTGTTGTGCGGAGAGTGGGAGAGAGAGAGAGTGAGTGTGGGAGAAAGAGAGTGAGTGGTGGAGAAAGGTAACCAAACCGGCAAAAAAGGCAACAAACAACAATAATCATAAAATACAATTTAAAAAAGTGTAATATCTCCAAAAATTTTAACGAATATGCCAAAGCAAAAAGGAGAAGAACAAGTTTAGATTATGAACAAAAAAAGATAAAGTGCAATAAAAAGCAAAAACAATTGCACAAGCCAGTAAGTTAATTCTTGGCACAAACGAAACGACGGGGAAACGCAAGGCAGGGCGACAATCAGCCAGCCAGCGTTCGTTTGGAGAAAAAAAATGTACACGCAGACAAAAAATCTGAAGAACAATGGAATTTGCCAGGTTCTAGATAAAGGAAAAACACATAAAATGATTTTTTCACACACAATATTGAATTTCCTTCGCAAAATACAGTACCATTTCTTAAATTATGCTATAGTTCGTAATACTTACAGAATTCAACCAAAATAAATTCATTGTCGGCAATGGCTTTCTTGAAATTGTTTTGTGTCAATACCAAAACTCCATCTTCGACTTTGATTTCTTCATCGGCTTGCACGCCCAAAGTGGCCACAGCCACAAATAACAGCGAACACAGTAAGAATTTCATTTTTTGTTTGCCCGGTTTTCCGTTTATTTCTTTTAGTTTTTCCCGTTTAATTTAATTGTATTAACTAAAATAAATGCCCACACACAACACTTAAAACCGCGCAATTAAACCCCCTGCCTGCAACGATGTTCACGCGTCGAAATTTAAATGTTAAGTGATAAATTCATAAGTGTAGAGAAATACAAGTAAAGAATTCTCAGAGAATGGAGACTGACACGTACACGTCATTGACATTTGTTGTGGCAATTCACTGGAGATTGTTAGCCGAACGTCATTTGGGCGTGATACTGAATGTAACGTAAAGCGTAAAGAATGCATTCTACACAGAAGGGCGTAATATTATAAATGGAAAATCGGCTATCGTGGAAAAAATTGTACATTCATTATTTAAAATTTAATTCAATCCACAGTACAATAAAAAGGTAAGTGTGGCTGTGTGTCTGTTCTGTTTTGTTCGAAGCTGTTCTACCTCCTTATTGTACCATGATTCAATCCCTGTGGGTTACAATAAAACATCATACTTTATATATTTCATGAATCATGACTTCAAGCTTCTTATGTACTTACATCCTAAGCCAGCCATATAAGCGCTTTATGTATTTCCACCATTAGTATAACATTTTTTTAGCATTCTTATGTTTTAGTCCTTTTTTATAAATCCAATTTTTCTTAAATCTAAAAAATTAAATTACATGAACATTTTGAACGAAATCACTATTTTAGAAAGCAATGGCAAAAGCTAAGTACATATAAATGGGCAAACATAATCTCAACGATTTATTTTTGGATATCTGCATGGTTGGAAGAATATAGGTAGACGTATGGACACAGCTGCTGGGACAATGAACTGTCAAACCAATTTTGGAATTGAAATTTTTGAATGAAAAATTAATTAAATTTTTAAAAATTGTCGTATAAGAAAACATTTAAATCTTTTTGATATATCAATGCTCCCAAGCGTTGATGCATCTACCTGTATTCTTCTACCATGGATATGTGTATAAGAATTAAAAAATGCTTTAAATGAAAACCCGTTCAAGGAATTGTCTTCTTTTGTTATGAAGTGTCTAGTTTACCATTTAGTAACGCAGAAGTTGTGTTTTTGTTTTAAATTTGAAACAGTTTTCAGTGGCATGAACCTTATTAAAGCAGAAATTAGAAATAGAATGATATTATACACTATGAATTCACTTATTTACATTAGACGCGGATTGAATAAATGCGGTTAAATAAAGGTTGCGAAAGATTTAAAATTACAAACGATCTCATTCTAATCATCATTCGGTCTCTAATTTTCAAGTAGCAGGACTTAATATATTTTAATAAAATCATATTAAATTTAAAAAGAGATATTGGACTTCTTTGGCCCTCCTTCCGAATAACCTTCATGGATCTGGAACCAATTTTTTTAAAAAACCTGTCATCTCTAAAAAAAATTCATGGTTTGGACCGAATTCATGCTTATCCTTATAGAATTTGTCCTATATTAAAGCTTAAGAAAAGAGAGCCATGCTAATGGCTATTCAATACTTGTTCAATATTTGTAAATTAAGATTTCTCTATATGAATTGTTGAAATAAAGATCAGAAGTGCGCCATTCGTGCATTTCTTAATTCGCCTGGAATTCATTTCCAGTATTTCGGTGGAATGGAAATTTTGGTATTTTTTCCCACAAAAATTGGGGCCCATTTTGCCCCTAACTGCTATCCGATGGCCATCCAAATAACAAAGCGATAATTAGGACGTGTCAGAAAACTTTCAGTTTTTGGTCCATTTGAAACCCCTAAAGATTTTGCGACCATCTCCAAAAATATCAGGCTTCTATTCTGACACTAACCCCACCTCCATCCAACATTTCGTGAGGATCGGGCCATATATGCCCTGTATATAATATCCTATCTATACAGTGTTGTAAGGAGTAAAAATATTACAAAATGTAAAATTTAATATTGTAAGTCAAAATGAAAATATCTCAAGCGACAAAAATGTGACAAAATTGAAAAATATAAGAAAGTATCACACAATCAATATTCTCATCTTTATTGGGATCTTTTCATGCGTTTTTGTCTAGATTTTTTCTTTCCTGACAAGAAGTCATTCTGAATTGACAAGATTTGTCAAAATTAGTCCAGCTATTTTTGAGAATTAAGCATTCTAGCGAATATATGCCGCTATATATACATCCGATATCTTCACTATCGACATCTACGTAACGTTCAGAATTTACCTTTTCGTCTATTTGTAATTTCACCGGGATTAAGAATATTCGCGGTTTAATGGTCTATATCACCCGCTCAATATTATCCGACGACCATCTAAATTGGAAAGCTTCTGCCCAGTCCTATGTTCTAGCCCCATGCATAAATATATACTTTCCTATGTGGGAAGCGAAAATTTCGAAGTGTTACATTATTTTGGTCCAATCAAAATTATAATACCCCCAACACACAGTGTTGCGAGTTTAAAAACGTATTTATATTTAGCATATTATTATTTTTTTATTTGGCATTTTTTTGCCTGCAACACTATTTTAGATCCGGGCCTCAATTCTTGTTCTATGAAAATGTCAAATAAAAACTTTTATAAAGGAATGAAATGTCAAATAAAAAATATTTTTCATTTCATATTTTTATAGAACAAGAATTCAGACCCTGGTCACACTGATTCCCACCCTTACTGCCTTTGGAAATATGAGTTGTGTTCCAGTACTTTTTTTAGTAGTAAAAATAGCAGAAGAGAGAACAGTTCGAAATGTCATTCTAATTTAGGTGTGCTCAAAAAATAAGGGAACGGAAAATTTGCAGAAATGCGATAAAATGTCAAAATTCCAAAAGTTAACAGTCTAAATCGGACTGGTGAAATCTTATTGAAAAGGACGCCAAAATTTAAAAAAAAAATGAGTATTGAAGACGATAAGTTAAAATTAATAATCTATAATAATAATTAATAATCTAATTCCTCATTTCAGCCAGTCCTCTTCACTACTGGAATCATCCAAAAGTGAATACATCAGTTGCTCCATATTTTCTCTTTTTGTTTTTGCACGACAAATAATAGTTTTTCCTTTAGTTTTTATGTCGATGATTTTCTTTATTTTTGTTGTGACGCGCGAACATTGAAATGTATCAATACATTTTTCAACCTTGTTAGCCCTGCCAATTAAATGTCAAATTTACAATATGCACATTTCTGCTCGGCCAAATTCATGTAACTAACACCGCCTTTACACGGTGCAATTTTTAGCTGGCATTTTTATCAATTCTCTTTTAAAATTTCTGCGTAAATCTTCGCGCCTTTACACGGTGGCATTTTACGATAATAGTGCTTGGCATTTTTTCTGACATTTTATTTTATTCAGTATTTCGTATAGAGCTAATTGTTTGTAACAGATATTTATAAAGAAGTGATTTAAAATTAAGTGTGTGAATCTAAAGAAGAAATGATGGAAAAAGTTATTGAGGTGTTAAATATTGCATTATTAACTTTTATTTTAACTTTCTTTTTTTACTTTTTAATACTTCCAATTAATTTTCATATAATTCAATCACTAAAAACATCACAATAAAAGAAACGCATTAAAAATTACAATAAAGAAGCGATATGAAATGTCAAAATTATAAAAAATTCGGAAGAAGCAAAAAGAGAAATGCAAAGAAAATGGCATGTAACCCTGTGCGGTGGCTCATCGTGCCATTTTTTCTTCTATCCTTGTCTCTCTACACCTTTTACCAACAAACAAAAATGGCATGGTTAAAAAATGTCACCGTGTAAAGGCAGTGTAAATCAAGCAGAAATGTGCACCTCTCAGCTCCATTTTTTTCTCGAGAGAGCTTCAAGTTTTGCTAGTTTTTTTTTTGAGTACGAGAATTTGTTGTAGCAGAATTAGTACTATTTTGTAGGTTCTGGAACACAACTATGGTAAACAAGAAAATTTGCCTTATCTAAGGCTGGAAATACATAAAGCGCATATTTGGCTGGCTTAAGTCATCGGCTGGCTTCTTCGTAGATGAACAAAGGAGTTTTAGGTTGACCTAGTTCGATGACTTAAGCCAGCCATATAAGCGCTTTGTGTATTCCCAGCTTAAGTCATTATTTGAGTTACCGACAAAAATCGGTAACTTTAAAATCAAAATTTTTGATATAAAAAAGAAGTTAAAGTTCACAACATTGGTATCTATCGGTAGGTCTTAACGACTACTTTGATTTCGTCGCTAGCTTACCGAAAAATTTCGTTAATTACCGAAGTTATATGCATTTTAAGTTTACCGACTTTTGTCGGTAACTCAAAAATGAGTTAGAGAATTCCACTACAGGTAAAGCTTTTAAGGGCTAAGTACATAAGAAGCTTGAAGTCATGGCTAGGCATATTTTGTGACATTTCACAAAGGGATTACAGAGCCGCACTAAAATCCATCCGTCGTTTTCCATTATAATTTGACATTAATATGCCTAGCCATGACTTCAAGCTTCTTATGTACTTAGCCCTTTAGGTTTAACAGGCCCCATCTCTGATTTGTGTCGTTCATTTCTGTTTCATTTGGGACGTTTTTTATTTTGGTGATACAGAGAAAACAACATGAAGAGGAATTAGAATATGTCATCATCGCTCTTGTGGACGAAAATAAGTTGTTGTTACGATAATAATAAGTTGTTACGATTGATAAAAGATATGCGAGAATTTATTAGAGAATAAAGATTATAAAGATTTCCAGTAGAGATAATGCAAGCACAGCCAAAGGAAACACTTGCCAACATGCCGGGCGAACAAAAGGAAAAACTAATTGTTGTCACCGGGTTTGGACCATTTGTGGGACATGAAGATGTGAATGCCAGCTGGGAAGCGGTGAGTAATAAGTTTTCAATTAAATTCCATTAAATCAATAACTATCTTGTGGTTCATTTACAGGTAAGCCTACTGCCAGATGAAGTAGTTCATGGCAATACGGTTTATCGCTTGCAAAAAGTCAAAGTACCTGTTGAATATGAAGCCGTAGATAAGGCAGTCGAAGAAATTTGGTCTTGGCGACCCACCTTGGTAATACACTGTGGAGTCAATGGTCATTCCTCGTGTGTACATGTTGAAAAATTGGCCTACAACAACAATTTCTGTAAACAAGATTATGCCGGCAAATATTTGCCCGAAGGTCGAGCATGTCTACAAAATTGTCCAGCTAAAAAATCGGCAATTTTTTGTAAATTAAATGTACAAAAAATTGTACAAGTTATAACCGATGATTGTGGGTGTACTCCTACAGATACCGATACCACGGATAATGTGGGGATGTTAAATAGTATGGATTCACTCAAATTGGCTAAAGTTTCCAAAGAAGTTGGCAATTATCTGTGTGGTTATATCTATTTAAAATCTTTGGATTATGATTGTTCTCGTTCGTTGTTTGTTCATGTACCACCGCTAGATAAACCATTTCCAGTTGAAAAGCTGAGTGAGGTTGTACTAAAGATAACACAGGAGTGTTTGCGTCAAGTCATTGATGGTGTGGATAAGAAAGATAAATGATTTTATTATCATAATCTAAAGTATTTCTCAACAACTACAAATGTGTTTTTGTTTTAAATTTGTATTTGTTTGTAATATCTTTTCTATTAATGTATGAATAAAATTCGTATATATGTGACATGGACAATGTTTTACAATGACATCTCAAAGGGAGTTAGATTTTATAAAAGAAAAAAACACCATAATACAAATAATATGTTGACAACTTATATAATTAGTCTAAATGTCTCAACCTTGACAACCCTAGATAAAGAACTGTTCCTGATAGACAATAGGTATATTATGATTTGCCTTATGGATTAAAAGTTGCCAAAATAAAATTGAATTGGTCCAGAAGAAAGTAGTACTTTCTCTGCCACGTCTAAAACACCGTAGCTGATAAGATAGATGCACAAAATATTTTTTAGAAGTCTTTAAAATACTAAAAAGTTCTAAATTTGGTACCATTTCGTATTATGTGAATGAATAGAGCTAAAATATTTGCATTTGGTATAAGAATTACATTTGGAGAGTAGGGTTGATATAAGAAGGGGGGTTTGACAATCTTTACAAAAGGTAATACATTTGGCACAATTTGGAAATTTGATTTGGGAAATGCATTTAACAAGTGTGAGAAAAATACGAAATGGTTTTAAATATGGTATTTGTGCGTCGATTGTAATTTGGAAATATGTACAAAGGGGAAAAATGGAGATGTAAATCTGAAATTAGGGGCTTAGGGTAGGACGAACCAAAATAGTTTAGTTTTGGAAGTGTAAGAAATATACTAAACAAGGGGAAATACACATGGTACAATAAGGAGGTAGAACAGCTTCAAAAACTACAGAAATACTGTCCTGAGGCTATGCTCGATTCCTGTCAAAAATTCGGTCACATTTAGAAAAAAAATTGTATTGTACATATATACTGTTTCAAATTTTGAGACAACAAAACGTTAACGGGCAATAAAATACACAATTTTGGGAATTTTGTGTAGAAACCCCAATATTTCATTCAAGTTTTGTGCGTTTTCCCCAATATAATAATTTTGCGAAACAAATGTTAAATAAACAAAACCAATTATTGCATATTTAAAAAGTCTATTTGACATAATAAGACTCCAGTACAGAGTTGCATTTTCCAAGTTTCCTTGAAGTTGAGTAACCTTTCTTATTGAACCATGGGTATAATTGAATATTAAGTAGCTTACCCATTCACAAGCTTATCACAGTCGAACTTCGTTATATCCTACACCACATAGTGGTAAGGGTATTATGTCTTTGTGCATTGTTTGTAACATGGAGAAGGAAGCGAGATAGATCCATAGTTACTTTTGAGAACCTTCATAGAAACACTTTCTGAGTCGATTTATTCATGGCATTTCGTTCGTTCGTCCGTCCGTTCATTCAAATCCATTTTTGTGATCAAAATGCAAGTCGCATTTATTATCCGATTGAGATGAAATTTTGCAAACAATATGTGTTTAGCCCAAGGGCGAACCCTATTGAAACTGAAATTGTGTTAATTGTGCACCAAATGACCTGAACTTTGTCTAGAATTCAGTCTAGAAGCAAATCGGTGGAGAAATAGCTATAGCTTCCATATATATGTTTCATCCGATTTGGGGTTTTAAGTTTCTCACATGCGTAATATGCACTCCACATCAATAATATGTGGTACCAGGTATCAGATACAGCTCAGACACAAGTGTTTAATTTTATATAATATAATTTATATAATTTTGTCAAGATCGGTTCAGATTTGGCTATAGCTCCCATATACAGGGTGAGATGAAAAAACCTGCAACCAACTCCAGACTGTTATCATTTTAAAGCCATTCGTCTGACAGCTGTTAAAATTATTCCAGTGACAGCTCATTATATTGTTTACAAGCGTACAAAAACATTTTGGTGAGAATTTTCCAATAAAAACTTTTTTTCGTGATGGAATTCAAGCGCGATAGTGTGATTTCTTTATATTTGATTGGAAAACCACAAATGGCTATCGCTGGAGCACTCCAGCATTTAAATGTGAATAAATCTTTTGTGTCTCGAACCATCGCTCGTTACCGTGATACTGGTATAGTAGCCCGACCTCAAGGAAGTGGATGGAAGAAAACAGCAACATCAGCAGAAATGGTTCGAAAAGTAAAGAAGCGACTTGACCGAAACCCGTCGCAGTGGCGGAAAAATGGCTCGTGAGCTGAACATATCACAATATTCTATTCGGCAAATATTGAAAAAAGAGCTCGAGGTAAAGCCATTGATATTCCAAAAAGTGCAAGAACTTACATCGCAACAGAAAGAAAATAGACTCAAAAGAGCTAAAGAGTTGTTTCGCTTGGCCGAAAGTCGTAAACTGTCGAATTTGGCGTTCTCCGATGAGAAAACATTCGATGTCCAGCAGTTTGTAAAAAAGGTCGTGTGGACCGCCATAGGAGGGTGTATTAAAGCCTTTCAAATTTGTGCTTCAAATTTTGGGGGAAATCGGTTCAGGTATAGCTATAGTTTCCATATATATATTTCATTCGATTTGGTGTTTAAGTCCCTAACATTTGTAATATTATAAAGCTCGGACATACCTTTGCCAAATTTTATAGAGAACGTCTACGATTTAGATATAGCTCCCATATATATCCTTAATCCGATTGCAGGTTTATTGTGCAAATAATGGCTATATCAGCCCAAATGGATTGAATTTCGGGACGTATGCTTCCATTTTGTGCAACTCGGCTGCGATATATATTTTTTTAATATAATCCTTCTCCAAGTGATCATGTACTCTAAGCAATGTTATTTGGTATAAAATATTAAAACGTCTCCGTCAAATTTAGTGAAAATAGATTCAGAATTGGGTATGCCTCCCATATATTATTTCCCTTTGAAACCAAACTATACCTGTTCTACAGCCAAATGTTGATAGGTGGTATGATCTGCTTCAAATTAATTCTACTAAATATGCATGTTGGTGTAAGGTATCATACAGTCGTCACCGCCCGACTTTTGACTTTTCCTTACGGTTTTTTTTATAATTTGTTAGATCTCATGTTGAGATATCGACAGATTTTGAGGCTTCCATCCTCATTTCCAGCCAAAGCGGTTGCAATTAATATTTTAAACTCCCAATAAGTGGAAGAAAAAGGGTTAAAAATTATTTTTGTGGCAGTTGTCGTACGAAAGGTAAGCCTAGGGTCATTATTCTCTAGGGTTACTACTTTTTTTGCCAAGAATAAATTATTACAGAATAGATTAGAGTTAACAGACCATTAATAAACATTGGGGTACTTATTGTGAATGAACTATTGACTGCAAAAATGTAAAGCATACTTTTAGGCAAAAATATTTTTTCCTTCTAATAATTGCCTTATTGTTTATAGTCTTCAATATCATTAAACTGTGTTACAATATTATGTGAAATTTCCACTTTCTTATTCCCTTTAAACTTTGCAATTTATTTTATCTCCCACTGTGTAATAGACCTATCATAGAAACTCTTGAGAATTTAAACATTCCTCTTTCTGCAGTTCTTCAATCATTTCTTTTTTGCAATGTATCCTCCCTGCCGCCTTAGCGGTAAATAGAAATCTTAAACGTGAATACAACGTGATGTTGTATTTTAATCACGCCTTAATACATTCCACTAACAAATGCACCATCATCAAATGACCTCTCTTCCCTCCACTCTTTCAGCATAAAGCTGGTTTACAAATCAAATCGGAATCCCTAGAAGTGCGCCAACAAAGCCCTGCCGTAGTGAAAAAGGAAATTCCAAAAGAGGAATCAGAATAGGATGAGGTGGTTTCGAATTGTAATCAATTCATGCCACCCACCTACCCAACCGCACACATACACACACAAACAAAGTACCTATGCTTGGTGTAGCTGTTTGTTGACAAAAAGGCTTTAACCAAAAGGGTGTAGATTTTATAATCTGGACTGTTGAGGGATTTACAAATGGAGGGGGCTTTGTGTCTGCTTGTCTTGCGATAAGTGAACAATGACCGCCATGACAAATCCGAGTCAAAACTGTAAATAGTTGAATGTATTGAAAATGGGTGGTGGGTAGTCGATAGGCGTATGACAGATAATTCTGAAGAAATGGCTGATTGACTTGTGTGTGGATGGTTTGCGATGGCGAAAGTAAATCCCAAGAAATGCCACCACGAGCCGAAGAAATCAATGGCAAAACTTAATGAAAAAAATGTATGTATGTATGTAAGTGGCCAGACCAGAAGTACAAGAAATCGAATTTGACAAAAACAACAATCACAAGAACATGCAAATGAATGCTTTGGCTAATGAAATGGATTTAAGGGATTTTTCTATGTTTGCTTTGGATTTAAGTACCAGTGAAGATAATAGGGCATTGGAAATGTGACAATTCTGGTCGACAGTCATATATGAGGTACATTTGAAGGGAACCTATGATTTAATGGAGATAGGAATTGTTTGATGTAATAAGAGTTGGAGAAAATTATTGATATCCATTGATGATATCTTGTAGAATCCGATTCGACCAGCTGACTCTGGCAATTATTCAGAAGGGCGGGATTTAGAAAATGGAAGGAAACGATATTGGGGCAGAGTTTTGAAACCATTTTTTATTAGAAATTCGTCATTAAAGCTACATTGGCTTGCCAACGAACGAAAATGGGAGCAGATTAATGCAACTAATAATGAGATAATCGTATATAGAATACGGAAAATCGATGTCTTCGTATAATCTTACGGTGGGTAGTTCCCATGCGACTCTGAGTTAGCAGAATCTGTCACCTCTGTAATTAGGGCATTATTCTCGTTTTGTGTTTTGTTTCACTTGTCATCATTGGACCGTAATTCTTCAAAGATACTGCGAATCGTAACATAACTGTGAATGGTGAGCGCTACCGTCTATCTAAATTTTTGCCCCAAAATACAAGAGTTTGACTTGCATGACATATAGTTTACTAAAACCATTTCACAATGGACCCACATCTAATTTTTGATTCCAAAACTATTTCAAAGTCTTCATATGTAATCTTTATTACCCATTAGTGACCGCAATAACAATTTTCAAAATTTCCGTTCTATCCTTTATATTAAATTTTACAACATTTGGAACATACAAGGTGAGATACAAAAACTGCAACAAAGTCAAACG